GTTTTAGGTCCAGGGTTGTAGGGCATTTTGATTTGTGAAATTTCATGACTTTTCCACGACCTTTCCAGTCGTTACAAGATTAGGATTTATTTTTAGATAATACTTTATAGATTGCTGGCCAGATTTCCATTTATCATTAGAATTATTTCTATAACTTAAAATAAAAAATAAAAAAAATCACTTTTTAAAATCATTTAGGTCTTCCCGAATGTGAAAAAATAAAAAATACAAATAGTGCAACCCAACCAGTAGAACACTGGACCAACAAAGGCACATAAACAACTATAAGCAGTGCAGCATACAAGTTATACAATTTGTTAACGACTTGTGCAAGGCTTTATTGGAATTTCATCCAGGTTACAAGAACAGACACTTGGTGGCACCATCTTACCATTTTTAAATTTATAGCAGCAGCTGTTGGACCAGCCCATCAGACTTCACTGAAATAGATTTACAGCGTTTTACACCCTAGGGTCACACCAAATAGGAGTAAGAAATTAGGCGGCTGCCATGTAGCTTTTAAATTATAATTTAAAAAACAAGATGTCTAGTAATGACCCATTATCAATTTAAGTGTTAGGATCCAAAAATGTTTAACAGGCTTGGCGATAAAGCCACTTCCAATTTAATTAATTTGACATCAAATATGACTTGCAGTCCCTTTTGCATGCTACAGCATAATCCTGTGCTTGGTGTCCTTTTTTGAGAATAAAACCAATGTCCCATTTCACTCATTTAAAACTTTTTTTTTTTTTTACCAGATATTGTACTAGCAGTGCACAAAGACAAGGAAACGATCATACATTTCAATGCTTTTATTTAGTCATTTTGAACATAAAAAACAGGTGGAAAAAAAAAATGTTTGGAAAAGTACCCGGGTTTAGTAAAAAAATACGGGGAGAGTAGGGGGCAAAGTGGTGAGTGCATGAACAGGGGATAATATTGTACTAGCAGTGCACAAAGACAAGGAAACGATCATACATTTCAATGCTTTTATTTAGTCATTTTGAACATAAAAAACAGGTGGAAAAAAAAAAAGTGTTGGAAAATGTACCTGGATTCAGTAATAAAGTACGGAGAGAGTAGGGGACAATGTGGTGAGTGCATGAACAGGGGATACTGAAAGAATTAAATGTCCATTTCTGAGATTGTCAGTTTAAATATCTGAACCTCCCCTGAGACGCAGCACCAGATGCAAGGTGGACTCTTTCTGGATGTTGTAGTCAGACAGTGTGCGACCATCTTCCAGCTGTTTGCCAGCAAAGATCAGCCTCTGCTGGTCAGGGGGAATGCCTTCTTTGTCCTGGATCTTTGCCTTTACGTTCTCAATGGTGTCACTGGGCTCAACCTCAAGGGTGATTGTCTTGCCAGTGAGAGTCTTGACGAAGATCTGCATGCCTCCCCTGAGACGCAGCACCAGATGCAAGGTGGACTCTTTCTGGATGTTGTAGTCAGACAGTGTGCGACCATCTTCCAGCTGTTTGCCAGCAAAGATCAGCCTCTGCTGATCAGGGGGAATGCCTTCTTTGTCCTGGATCTTTGCCTTGACGTTCTCAATGGTGTCACTGGGCTCAACCTCAAGGGTGATTGTCTTGCCAGTGAGAGTCTTGACGAAGTTTTGCTTGCCTCCCCTGAGACGCAATACCAGATGCAAGGTGGACTCTTTCTGGATGTTGTAGTCAGACAGTGTGCGACCATCTTCCAGCTGTTTGCCAGCAAAGATCAGCCTCTGCTGATCAGGGGGAATGCCTTCTTTGTCCTGGATCTTTGCCTTTACGTTCTCAATGGTGTCGCTTGGCTCGACCTCAAGGGTGATGGTCTTGCCAGTGAGGGTTTTGACAAAGATCTGCATCTATAAACAAAACAAAAAATATATATATATATTTATATATTAGGGGTTGTAATTTACCGGTGTCTAACGATTTAACGGCGCAACAGGGGGCATTGCCCCTCACTCGGACTATCACTCAAGACGATTGTGAAAATAGATTTTATTTTTGAAATATAATTTTAAAAAAATAAAAAAAAAGTTGCCAAATGCATAGGCTTTCTAGCGTTAATATGATGCTACTATAGCAACAATTTAGGACAGTCCGTTTCACATTCGCATTTTAATTGTTACATCTGACACACAAACTTTCCGCGCAAGTGGTTCAACTAAGAATGCAGCACCCCGAGTAAGCTAAAAGGTATGATGAAATAATTCTTTAATGTTTAATAGAGGGCTAGATGGTCGTAGTTAGTTGATTTTGCGGTATTGTTATTTTTTGTTGCCGTTCCAGCTTAAAATTATGCATCTGTTAAATGGGTCGCAATGAATGCGTTATGTTAGAGAATCGGTCGCATTAAGCTTGCGTTTCATTGTAAAGCAGACACAATTAAGTATTTCTGGTGGTTGTGGTGGTATCACTTGTCTGTATTTGTGGTAAAACTGCTGCCCAAGACATTATTTCCTAGATGTCAGATTTTCGAATTTGTTGCTTATGCAATTTTGTTTTATTCAATAGCAACTCTGCCATCTGTATTTGCTGAGTACCTTTTAGTAAGGTCATTCACTCAAAACATTTCTCATTCCACTGAGGTACTTTTCCCATTGCATTTCAAACTAAATGCGCTATGGACGTCTTTGAATGCTGCGCTCGTCTCAGGTCTTTATAGCAGCTTGTCGCGCATAATACATAATTCTAAAACACGGCTCTCAAGTTCAAAGAACTTTAGCTTCTAAAAACAAGTCTCTAGACCTTGCGGTCAAAAAATAAAAAACAAACTGACTGACCCGTCTTGCGACCAAAACACTATCTGTGTGAACCCAGTGTTCTAATAGTAGCGGGCAGGTTTGTTTACGGTCCGACAAATATGTGAACGGGCCACATATGTTTTTTTTTTTACTTTGTGCTACGTCATCGCCCCCTTTCGTTACACCTCAGCCACCCCCTCATCAGTGCTGCGCTGGCTCGGTATTTACATCATAGTTAAGCAATATCACGAGCAATAGGCTAAGTGCAATATCACACGAGTGCAAATGTGATACTGATCTTATACAACAGTTCAGTAAGTTAATATTGTGTTATTTTAGACAATGTTGTCTGTTTTGCTAAATTTTGCCAATGAAAATATAAAGACATAGCAGAACTGTTCATCTACACAGCGGCATTTCATTTCTTAAAGGGTTAGTTCACCCAAAAATGAAAATTAACTTGTGTTTTACTTAACCTCGAAGCATCCTAGGTGTACATGACTCTTCTTTCAGACGAATCCAGTCACCTAGGATGCTTCGAGGGCAAGTAAAAAAAAAAAAAAAATTTGAGGTAAACTAACCCTTTAATGCACGTTTTGAACAAATTGGGTGACCCATTTGGCGCATTCAACCATTGGCGCGTTGGATTTGAAGCCACACTGCACAGACCGATTGGTGTATGACATCAAAGGCCAGCGAGAGCAATTCAAAAGCATAAGGAGCCGTCTGCTCTCTATAGCCCTCACAGTACTTTGATGTCACACACCGATCGGTCTGATGGTGATGATCCGCTTCAAGTCGAACAAGCCTAATGATTCAATGGACCGTTCATAACAATAACAAAATATTTCTTGCTGAAGCTACTTTTTGTAATGTCTATTTGATGCTTTACACAACGACTTTAAATGATCTTTTGGGAGTAATTTCTCAGCCAAATTTGATGTGCAATTAATTTGTGATTAATTAATCGCCACATCATGTAATTAATTATATTAATTTTTAATAGCTTACCAGCCCTAATATACATCTCATCAACCATGCATCAACTAATTTAAAACTATCCGAAAACATTAATTTACAGCAAAATGAAAGCAGAGAGGGTTGCACGCTAAATCGAAATGGAATCGAGATCGCAAATCGACAGTGAAGCACGGTTCTGTGATCAGCAGTAAATCTCCATCCAAAGGCCAGAGGGCGCTCTCGCACTGAAACTCCAAATAAGCCTCGCAGAAGAACTGCAGCTGAATAAACAGAAGATTCAACTGCTTTCATTGATTCAACGTGACTAATAAACATGTTATTATTATAATTTTCATTAAAATACAAGTATATTTATAATGCAATGCCTTTATCACTGCTTAAATACTATGAAATGTTGCGTGCCTTATTCTGTGTAAGAAGTCACATCATCTCACAGAAGGATTTATTTCAAACACTTGACCGACATTATGAAGTGAGTTTGGAGTAAAAATTTGTTATTAAATGTGGTATTTTCACATGCTTTCAGATGGAGCAGCATTTACTTCACAGAGCCATAGTTCACTGAGAAGCTATGCAAACAGCTGTCATTATCGCGAACGATTTCTTCGATTTCAGAATCGCGCAAAAAAATAAACTGCGATTTTTTTTTTTGCGTAACTTGTCAGTGAACTACGGTTATGTGTAGTAAATTCTGCTCCATCTGAAAGCACGTGATGATGATTTCCTGCTGATTACAGAACCGGCATTACTGTCAGAATGCGCATGACAAATCACATTCGATTAATCGTGCAGCCCTAGCAGAGATCATAGATGAATGCTTTAGGCTTCTGAAAGATTTACTAAACGCCACACAAAACTCCAAAGAAATCCAGCTTGATTGTGATAGCACTATGCTCTAGCAAGTTAAGTATTTAACTGCACCTCACTTGCGTTGGTCAACCAGAAAAGTTTGAAGGCAGCTCTGTCAACCACAAATAATGGCACGAATTCAGGGCAGAACTAACATTTTGTTCTGGGGGGTTGGCCTTACATAATCAATTTATCACGGTTTACTACACTATTAGCATGACTTAATTTAATTGATACATTCGGTTTTTATTTTCTCACTTTAATATAAAAAGCATTTGCTTAAATAAGAGTAACGTTAACATGATTAAACAGTGATACGGTACCCTTAACCAGAAGGACTTTATTTCAACGTTTTTTTCCCCTTAATTTTTACTTTTTAACGATTTTCCCGAAAGACAATTTTGAGACTGGCAGTGGAAAATGACAAACGTAAGTACTTGCTAAAAGTACCTGCTAAACGGTCGTCTTATATTATTATTATATCCTACATATCAAAATATAACATACTCGGTTATCTAAAAAAAAATAATCTGAAATAATTTTCAAAAAGTAAATAAACGACAGCAGAACTACGAGAGGTTTTGTTTTATTTAAAAACTGTACTGCGCAACACCATACAACCTTTCTCTAACATGGCGGCGTTACAGTAACATCCGGGCTCTTTGTTCACAGTGCACTATGATTCAGCAAAAATACATCTGATACCCGATCGTAAAGCACGAATATAATAACTTCACAAATAAGTAGCAAACACATCCATTTTGTAACGTAACCTTTGATGTTACGCTTCTAACTCGGATTAAAAGAATTGTGAATTACAGCTTAATTTGTTTTAGACATCTAAAAAAGACCGACAAGAATCAATACAATACAACAACACATTAAGAACGTATTCTTAAAGTCTTGAATAATATTATCAAACCAATTGGATGTTCGTTCTCACCTTTTAGAAAAGCTTGTAGACGTTTGATATTTCTTCTGAAAATGTACGCGTCCTCTTCTTCGTAGAAAAACCTGCCGCTGACCGCGAGCGCGGCTGTATTTATACAAACCCAGGGGAGTGACGTTTATGGGACATCACATGACAAGATCCTTCCGCTGTCAAAACTTCTGTTTGTTAAAACGTTCAAATATGCTTTCAAACTAAAGATTTATATGATGTTTTTTTAGAAATGACATGCTTTGTATATGTATTTTAAATGTATAATTATTATCACAAAGTATCAAGAAAGGAAGTCAGAATATGCTAGAATGGGCTGGCCTTTGGAACACCCTTCAGGCAGTGATTGGCTGGTTGTGTTGTTTGTTCGCTTTGCGGCGATTCAGTCGTTTGGAATCTGGGCCAGGCAAAGAGTAGGGCTGTGTCATACAGTGATAACACAAATAGAATAGTCTGGAAGATTTCATATTCTTAAATCAGTCTTGCTAATAATTGTATCAAAAACTACAATCCCTTGTTAAAGTTATGGGACCAGTTATGCATGTTTTTGTGTTTTTAAAGCATAATTATAGCCCAGAAATGACAGGCTTTTGTCCCCAAAATAGTATTTGCTCAAAAACATGGTTTGTTAACCAAAATCAGCTTCACTGTAGCTGTGTTTCCATGAAGTACATTGTGTTTTAGCCTAGGCTTTACAGAGTTGTGTCAACCAGCACGCTTAATATAGAATGCAATGTGTGATAGATGGCATTGCTTTGAAACAAGTTGGCCTCAGACATGCTGCCTGCAGTATCTGTTGCAGCAGTGTAGGTCATTTTCTCTGGCTAAGTTAACAGACATTCACCACTGTTACAAAGTAGGACCTGACTTATAAATAAAGTGATGGGATTTTGTTAGCTTTACTTTGTTAGTCTTGGCACTATCCTCTGTTATTACAGAAAGGTGTAATGCTAAAGTTATAATTTTCATGGCTTCATTCAATTTTCTATACTCTACATAATATGGTTTGGTCAGAAATCTGTTATTTCCCATGTGACTTTGTGTTGCCATGGCAAAAGACAAGCATGCATGGACAAAACTACAAACAAGATGAACCAGCTCTAAATTTGTTCTGAAGTTTCCCCGATGTATTGCTGGTTACCACCTGTTGTAAGCAGTTTGTTTCTTTTACCAGAACGTACAGTACTGTGGGTGTGATGTTAAAATAAAATAGGCTACCATAAAATAATTACTCAAGATGATTAAACATTAACTGGCTTGGACTTCAAAAGGAGACTGTAATGTGAAACCGCTCTTTGAACCTTGTTTATCTGGACAGTCATCCACTTAGTGGATTAGTATCATTGTGGAATCAGGCCCCTGTTCCGTCTTCCGGGAGCATGAACAGCTGCTGCAAGATTATCTAGATCACCCAACTAAGCAAGTTTTCTTGAAAACTGAGGGGTGGGGGAGATTTTACATTTAGACTTATTTCACTTCTTAAACAGGTAAAAGTTTAAGAAGAAAACCAGGACAAGATAGTGATCTTTAAGATGGTGTCATCAGTTTGTTTTTAGGATTATAGATATGGTCTCGTCTGCTGTTACATTTGGGTCTCCATCTTAACTCAGTGACACTTGGCACTTGAAAGTGATCTAATAATATCACGAGTTGGTCAGCATTTATGTTAATATAAATTTGAGATCTCTATTTTACCTCACTGCTCTTCTAAAGTGATAATGTCATTTGTAGTGTTTTTGCTTTATGTTCTTAAAAGCAAAGATGTGCTTTCTATTGAAGGAAAAGTTTTCCAAGGAAATTACAGGAAATACATAACATAAACGTCACTAGAAATTTCCTGGTTATCATTGCCTGACCCGTGCTGATACATATCACATGATTTGCCACATCACTGAACTCAAAAGACTTTGTTCAGATCTAGATCTTGCGTACCTTGAACTTTCAGGAGGCTGGAAATGTTCAATATATTCCTGCCTGTAATTTAATCTGTTATTAACACCAGACGATACAAATACAGGATGTTAAGAAATAAGCTGTAATGCTAATATTTATATAACTTGCCTATGTTTAAAGTTTCGCCATATTGTTTGAATATCTTTGTCAATGACGGAAGACTTTTGGCATCACATCACATTTGACTGATGTTCACATTCACATCACATTTGACTGATTGACTAATGTTCATAGACCATCTGTATTATGTCATTTTTTTGGTCATTTAGTCATTTATCAGATGCTTTTATCCAAAGCGACTTACAAATGAGGACAACAGAAGCAATCAATTGTAGTATTAAAACAACTAAAAACAGATCCAAAACTAAAAGCTACAACTTTAGAAATACTACCTATACACATTTAAAAAAATAAAGAGATTGAATAAAAAAAATTCTAAACTTAACATTTAAATGAAAAACAACAAACAAAGCTAAAAACAATTCAAAATATTAAAGAACAAAAGGTATGAGTATAATAATGATTCTAACATAACACTAAGGCAAACATGTATACATGACTTATTTATATTTATGCAATACAGTTCAGCCTGTTTCGAAGAAAACAGGTTTTCCTGCTCTGCTGTTATCCTGGACTTTGTCTGGGCTTGTATTACAACAGCTGAACGGGTGGAACCAGATGACGCCGAGGGCAAAATGAGCTGGTTGAGGCATGTGACCCAGCCACTCAACAGTGGTTGTTCTGTTTTGCAAGCAGTAGTGATGGTTATCAACAAAGTATGGAATGTTCTACAGGAGAGCATGACTTAACAGTTTAAACCGGTTAGGTTGAAGACGACAAGCAACCAGTTTACCATACATTAAGTTAGAGGTGCTAAGCGAATGGCGCACTTAACTAAAGACAAAAGGTAGGCTATAAGTAACCTTATCTTTCCCTGCGTCATGAAAAGAGAGTTCGACATTAAACACAAAATACACGGGTGTTTATCTTTGCCTATCCCAACTAAAAAACAATCCCTTAAATAATTACATTTTAAATAACTATATTGAACTAAAGTCCCTTGATCGCATACATTGGTAAGTACATTAGCCAATGAGGTACAGATCGTCTGAAGTACTTGTCAACTTGTTTTTCCAGGGAGCGTGATGGTCTTGTGAAACACACCGGAGGTTGCCACTGTGGCGCGGTGCGTTTTGAGGTGTGGAGCGCTCCAGATTTACACGTGTTCAGTTGCAAGTAAGGACCATCTACAGCCAATTAACACACTCCCAGAACAATGGTCAAAACGTGTGATTGTGTGATCACGTGGATGGCTTTCTGAATACTTTGCAGTGGAAAGTGTCATCTGGGTCATTCGAAGAAATGGGGGTATTTTACATAATGGAAAGCCTTAAATCATTCTGTTAGGCAAAGAATGTCTTTAAATGTTAATGCCATCAGTGTCACGGCACTACGAGGTAAAATATAGTGTTGATGCTGATATTTCTACAAATAGCCTATTCATTTGTAAATAATCAGTTGTTTACAAATCATGATGATGTTATCTATTTCAAATGGACAGACGTAGGACGAAAATGTGATAAAAATTATGTTATTATGATTATCATATGATTGTGAGTTGTATTTATGAAATTGTACATCAGAGATGCTAGATACAAGTTGGTGTCAGCTTTTCATAGTTAGTCATTGTTTTCATATAAGAGACTAAAGTCCCCTTTCCATGAGGTAACCCACCTGATTGTTTCACTTTCTTGTGTCTCAGTTGCAGTATTTGTACAAAGAAACAGAATCTCCACTTCATTGTGCCAAAATCCCAGTTCACCTTGCTGCAGGTATGGGATTTGAAGCATGTACACTGGAGCTCTAGAGGCTGGATGTTTGGTGTAGAATAGATGAAGAGTGTAAAATACATTTGTTCAGAATGCAGATAATCCTAAATCATACAATTATCACGTTTCTTAGGGATCAGACAACATAACCACATACACATTTAATACACACATGGCCAAGCACACGTTCTGCACAACGTGTGGTGTCCAGAGTTTCTACACGCCACGTTCCAACCCTGATGGATTTGGTGAGTTGATCAGAAAGCTTTTTGGATGTTTTATTTGATTAGTTAATTTTTACTGCATGCAAATTGATTATAGACGCAGTACCTTGCTTTCTACTAAATTATTCATTTTATTGTTGAAGAAAAATGTTTGCTCTGTTATATGTGTGTCTTTTTACAAGTTAGAAATCTGCCATGTGTTTACAGGTGTGACACCTCACTGTTTGGACCCTGGAACAGTGAGCAGTGTCACTGTAGAAGACTTCTGTGGGCAGAACTGGGAGGAAAGTATGCAGAAGCATCAAACTATAAGAAGTATGTCAAAACAAACAACAGACACATGACTCACTGTTTCTATTGGTCAACTAAGCTCTAAGACTAAATTGTACTCTCCTGCTTCTCAAGGCAGTTTTAATGATATATTAGTGACACCATGAATCAAACTCAAGGTTTTGTGACTTTTAAGGACACATACTGTATATGCTAATGTACTCCAAATTGTTGACAAAATTCACTTGAACAGATATAAACATTTACAATAAATATTTATTTTCTGAGAAACTGGACCAAAAATATTCATGAATCATCTTGTACACACAGATTTTTTGAAATAGCTTATTTTAGTCTAGAATGAAAACATCATCTCCCTCTAAATTATATATTGCTTCCTTAAGAAATGTATCAACAGACATATATGAAAAAAATATGTAGCAAAACTGAATCATAGTAATATAGATATTTGTGAGAACTTGATGAAGATTGTTGAATGATATATACCCATGTTTGCATTGTGTTAATGTCTGTTTGTATTGAGGGTGTCGGCTAAGAGGAAACCTAATAAAAATTAATTTATCAAAACAAAAACAAAAATCTGTCTTTTTTTCCCTCTATCAAATTTATATTAAACAAAATTATCGCATTGCTCTACATTGGCATATGTTTGAAGTCATCACAGAACATATACTAATAGAGTTACAGACTTCGCTCAAAGAAATCAGAAACACATGTCAGTTTTGAAACCATACTGAATCATAAGATTTGGTACAGTACTTATTGATCCATTTGGAACAGTGCTTTACTTGGAACT